TTTTTTTTTATCATATTTTAACCGTTATTTGCAGATTAAATATTTTAGATCACAAAAGATTTAAATCGGTCAGCGTCCATTAAAAATAATGGAAAAAATAAATCACGGAACAACGATTAAATTTGAACGAAAAGATAATAAAATAAGCTGCGTTCCCTAACATGCAAGGAGTTGCAAGAATTTACAGGAATTAAGCAGAAAGCGTTCTCGTACTCGGTTCTCTGCCCCTTGGCTGAAGGCCTCGAAGCCAGCGCCACGAGTCTTGTATTTATATAATAAATATATTTTATTGTATGAATTTTTAAAATAAATAAATAAATCGGTTCTATGGCAAAGTAGATGCAAACTGGGAGAGTAAAATCGGTGCTCTTTTCGTCAGAAGTTGCAAGATCTTATCCTAAGAATTTTTGCTGGTTAAATCTGGTAAATTGTCAAACCATCAGCTGTTCAAACGATTTGAAAGTTGAATAAGCAAAAGCAAAAGTACATCTGCATTTTAACCTTATTAAATATGTCGTAGCGAAGAGATATCAAGTTCTGTAAGTATTTTTGTTAATTTGACGGTATATTTGCGTATAATTTAGCAGANTTTTAACCTTATTAAATATGTCGTAGCGAAGATATCAAGTTTTGTAAGTATTTTTGTTAATTTGACGGTATATTTGCGTATAATTTAGCAGATCGCCAAATGAATATTTTTGACAGCTTTTGCCCAAAAAGCGTTCCCGTACTTTTTGGTTTTTTTCTCTTTCTCTGAGAGTAATTTTGCTTTTTGACAGTTTTACAGGTTTTATCCTGAAAAGTTGAGGAACAAAATCATAAATATTACATATAACGGTTATTTTTGGTCCCTGATCTGAAACCATATGCAGAAACATATGGTCAAGCTTAAAAGTTTGCACAGAAAAAACTATTGGAACTTTCCTAAACTTTGCCACAGTTGGATTTTAGTGAAAGTATTACTGAATTTCAGTAAATTTTGCTTGAGAACTGTCAAAATGCAATATTTTACTAATTTAAATAGAGGAATTCGCATCAAACTTGAAAGAATCTCCATACCAGTCTTTTTTTATAAATATCAAATATGCTTCTTTGAGGTTGATGACGAAAAAAATAAAACTATAGACCAAGTCAAATCCACGTTACTTACACGATAGATTGCAGAAATATNCATATTAAATATAACGGTTATTTTTGGTCCCTGATCTGAAACCATATGCAGAAACATATGGTCAAGCCTGGCCGCAAATATTTACAAATGAAATCGCTTAAAAGTTTGCACAGAAAATACTATTGGAACTTTCCTAAACTTTGCCACAGTTGGATTTTAGTGAAAGTATTACTGAATTTCAGTACATTTTGCTTGAGAACTGTCAAAATGCAATATTTTACTAATTTAAATAGAGGAATTCGCATCAAACTTGAAAGAATCTCCATACCAGTCTTCTTTTATAAATATCAAATTAGCTTCTCGGTCAGGAAGGCCCACTGAGGTTGATGACGAAAAAAATAAAAGTATAGACCAAGTCAAATCCACGTTACTTACACGATAGATTGCAGAAATATTGAAAATCAGTCAAAAAAGTGTTCATTTCTAACTAAAGAAACAGTAAACTCTATACATATGTATGTGTTTGTATTCTTCATGAACTCAAGAAGTTTATTTGACAGCAAGTGTCGATAGATGCAATATTGAATTTGAGTAAGTGACCGAGAAGTTATGCCTTAAACCAGCGACTGTAATATTGAGAATATCTTATCGATATATGTGCATTAGGGTGGGTCAAGCTGTTTGAACGAAATTTTTTCGACAAATCGTAGATAGTTCTAAGAGAAGTGTAGAAGAAAAATTTACCTTTACACAACATTTTTTATAGTTTTAATTCTATCAGTTTTACAACGCTTTCACCTTTTGTTACAACTATTGGATATAAAATGCCTATATTTTAGTTTGTAACATTTTTAATTGATTTAGCATATCAAGTTTTTAGTGACTGAATACAAAACCCCTTGCTTGTGTATACACTTTTTACAGTTGTTAATTCTTTAAGTTTAAAGTTTACAAAATAGATATACTATTTGCAAAAAATACTATGGATAAATAAACAAAACAAATTTTATAAACTAAACGTTAGTCATTTTGTATGCAAAAATTTTAAGAAAAGGTTAAAAATAATTAATTTTGTGAAAGGATAATTTTTTCATTTAAAAAGGTTTGAATCTCGTTTCAGATGCGAAAATACCATACGATTATTAAAAAAAAGAATCGACCTAGCCATATGAAAACACATACATATCTAGGAATAGGTTACATGCTTGGACTACGAGAAGCGGTCTAAATGTAAACCCAGGCAACAGAAATTATTCTACATATTTACAAATCAAAACAAATTACTACATTTCAAACTAAAGACGCTGGATGACAAGATATTCGGAGCGGGACAGCAAACTTAGACGGAAAATAAATGTCGAAATTCGTAGACAGAAGGGCTACAGAGCATATTACACTGAAATAAATGGATGTGAAATCGGCGGTCAAACTGATCTATTATTTTTATTGCCCAAATAATAGACATAAGAACGATTATAAGAAATGTAAACATAACAAAACTGTCAAAGCTAAACTTCAAAATGGGGGGGATTGCCAGATGAATGTACGTAACCAATGTTATCCAAGACACGAACCATCATATCGGCATAGGCACGAATTGACAGTGACAATAGGGAAACGCCCACACTTACACACGATAAAAGAATCGGTGGTCACATACCACGAGGCTAGGGAAATATTCTTCCTTTCCCGAATTGGACACGGAGCGAACCACACGCATCAGCCCTCGCAAGAACGGAAGTAATCTTAACCAAATAATTAAACTGGGTTAAAAGCTGGCGACATTCAGTTAGTCGATATTCACCCATATCTAATAAAGGGAAATCGACTGAGCCCAAACATAAGGAAAAAGGCTATCAGTAAAAAGCCGTAAGTGTGCAAAGTGTTCGAGGCGGTAACAGAATTTAATCGTGCTATTCGTTTGCATTTTTTTCTTTTTTTTTATCTTGTATCTGGTTCAGTCAAAGGCAAAGGGTTCCGTCACATTTCTTCCGGCGAATCCCCAACCAAATTGTGCAGGGGAAAATAAAGAAGTTGTGAATGCAAAACCTGGTCTATTCATTTGACAGCAATTGGACCCCCATTCGCCGATTATCCCAAAATCATCAAAACGTAAGTCTGCCACTTTCTTGTCACCATCCCATTGGAAACGAGCTACCCAACAACAGTAAATCGAGATTCCTGTTTGGACCGACAAAATAAGGTCAAGCAAATCAGAGAGTGATAGCTTTTTGAGGCCTAGATACTTCAGGCATGGGTTGATCATTAATGGTATGTAAATACGTGAATAAATAAATAAATTAGGAAGGACGGCAGACTATATGGTAGACAATCTCTATCTAGATGAGAATGGAGAAGAAATCGAGTGGCCGATAATGAGGCTACCTCTATATAGAGGCCCGGACAACTACGATTAGAAACGGATACAAGCATCTTCCAAGCGCAAGTTGTAGGAATCATTAAAGCTTGTAAAATCTTAGGTAATAAAGTCGGGTGCAAAAACAGCGAAAATATATTCTGACAGCCAGGCGGCCCATCTTCGTAATACCATTTACCAAATCTACACTGGTTAAAAAATGTAAAATGGACTGGAACTCAGCGTCTCAGTCAACTACTGTCTCTCTTGTCTGGGTTTCCGGGAAGTAGCAACATCGATTAGAATGATAAGACTGATGAATTGCCGAAAGCTGGAACCTTTTGGGGTCCAAAATGGTATACA